TTTACAACATTTATGTAATATGCAGGATCCTGTACTACTCCATTTTAGCAGGTGTAATAAAAAAAAAGAGTTAATTTTTTTTATATATAGCAAGTCACCCTCAACAGCTCTCTTTACACCTTGGATAACAAGATGTTATTGTTACTTTTATTATTCTTAAGTACAGGGAAAGAAATCAACACTGAAATTAAAGATAACATTACTGCAAAGACAAAATTGCCAATAGCTAATCGCTATATAAAACATTAATAATCATTCCATTCACATATTCCCTAACGCTTGTCTTGTTTTTCACAAAGAATCTGGACTGTCAAGCCTTGATTGTCTCCTTGACTTCATCACTGAAAATCCAGTGGCTTTAAACAGAATCATATCCAATTTACACATGTGTAACTGAAACTGGAATCAAGCCTTCCTCATTCTGCAATCAGATGAAGGTTCAGTTCAGCACATCACTGAAGCACATGCTGAACTTTAAACACTGATGTCAATGGGAATTAAGTCCATGCCTTAAATTAAGTAAGCATCTAAATGCTTTACTGAATTGGAACTTCAATTAATTGGGTCAAATTCACTTATAGTGTAAAATCTGATTTGGCCCATTGTTTATATTTTGTGTGTGTGAATTTACTGCTTGTGAAAGATACCAAGTCCTCTATTTATCCACAGGATAGAAGTAGCAGCGCAGTGTGCATAAACCCTAATCTAGAGATACCACTGGGGATGAAATTCACAAGACCTATGCCCCACTTAAATTCCACTTAATCTCTAAGAAGAGGCAGTAAGTGGTGCATAGGCTTTACCCAGCCCTTTGTAAGGGTGAATTTCACCATGAGTGAGAGGTGTGTTCAGTCTTTATGCTATTTCAGAGTGAAATTCACTTCTGTGTGAGCAGGCTTCTGTTATAAACCCAGAATGGATTTGAACCAGCAACCTGGAGGTGAAAGCTTTATTTCATTTTCTTACGAAACATATAATATAGATAAACACAAAACCACTGCATTTTAAAATCATGAGCTATTCTATATATAAGTACTAGGAGACTTACCTGGTGTTGCTCGGATCTTTCAAGGTAGGGGGGATAGGAGTGTGGCGGGTGCAGGAGGTCAGGGCAGGGGCTTGGATATGTGGGGGATTCAGTAGTCGGGCTGGGGGGGTGAAGACAGGCTCAGGACAGGGGGCTGAGGAGTGG